CCAAATGACTCTTAACAGTATGACTATACCCATTATTTAGCTAATAAAAATATTAATTAAATATGCACCATGCAACAGCAGCAAGATTGGCATTAACCTGCATGAAGCAAAGTTACTTGGAGTCTAGTGGAGCAGGGAGTCTAGTAAATTGTTCACCTTCTGCCTTCAACACAGAAAATATAGAAAATTAATCCCAGCAATTAAAACCACATGCAATCAGATTTGTATACCCCTAGAAGCAATTGATGAACTTAAAAACATTATTCCAAATTATATTTAAATGAGAGAGATCAAGCTATTCATTCATTCCTGGCACAAAACAACTTTCTCACAATTAGATCAATCTCAGGCAGACTTGAAGTTGAAAAAAGCAGAACTAGCAATAAAAGATATGAGTAGATGGCAAATCCCCAGGACCAGATGGTTTTCAAGCTGGTACAAGCAACACCTTGACCCACTTGCCTCTAAGCTACTTGAGTTATCTAATGAGGCCCTGGAGACAGGCGCCTTTCCACTGTCACTCAAGGAACTTACATTTCAGTGCTTCATAAACTAGGAAGGAACCATTTTCATCTGTTAATTATTGGCCTATTTCTTTAATAAATGTAAATTTCAAAATAATGACAGTGAAGCTAGCCAAACAGCTTTATACACAAGTACTAAGGTGCTAAGGAGGATGGCGACCAAGATGATCAAGGGTCTGGAAACCAGGCCTTATGAGGAACAGTTGAAGGAGCAGGGTAAGTTTAGGATAGAAAAGAGGAGAGTGAGAGGAGATATGATAGACACCTGCAAATATCTGAAGGGCTCTCACATGAAAGAGGGAACAAGCTTGTTTTCTCCTGCTCTGGAGGGTAGGAACATGGAAGATGGAACAGACACCCTTTGAAGGCAGTGGACTCTCTTTTGTTGGAGGAATTTAAGCAGAAGTTGGATGTCCGCCTGTCCTTGATTATTTAGTTGAGATTCATGCATTGTAGCGGGTTGCACTAGATGACCCTTCCATCTCTACAATTCTGTGATTTTAAGTATGAAAATATTCATCCTGATGGGCATTTAATCAGAGTGAGTTATTTCCCTTGGGCACTCCCGTCACAGTGATTTGGGAGAGGGTTTAAAAATGTGGGTTGTATCCAGTGTTAGTCAAACTCTGTCTAAAGTTGCTGGCATCCATCTTGTCTCTGGAGAAAATGGAAGAGTGCACCTGTGGGGGTAAAGTCAAACAGCTGAAGAATCACAGCACCTGCTGTAGCCGTAGAGACAGATACGGGAGAGACATGCTTTATTGCAGGTGGGGCAGATGAAGGCATCCCATTTTACTACTTCAGCTGTTTTTTTCTCTCTGTGCTCCTTCCTGTTCTGGTCACAGCTGTGGATACGCGACCTGTCTGTCTCGAGGCAAAGCAATCATCTGCAGGGTTAATATTGCCAGCCTTCATATCATGTTTGCAGACATCTTTGTGATGCAGAGTTGACCCCCTGAATTGAGTAGAAATAACTATATTAACTATATTAGGCCCATTAATTTCAGTGGGTAGACTCTGTTGGCTACATCTCTGTTTTTGTTTTTCATGGGGACCTATACCTTCCCCCTATGCAAGCAATGAAGAAATATTCACTGTGCCCCCCAAAATTCAGAAAGGAATCTTTTCCAGGATTTTTTCCAGGAGGTGAAATTTTCCCTACTCCTCTTTCCTTGGGACGTATGCTATATTTCCACCATCCCCTTCCTCTGTTGGATCTCTCTCTCCCAGAAAGAAAAGGCTACATCCCCCAAAATTTACCAATGGGTCATGTGGGCGCTCTGAACAAATGGTGATTCAGCACTGGAAGGAGAAGTCTATTGCCTTCCATATGACAATGGATTACCAATGTGCGCTTCCTGTCCTTATTTGATCTGGCAATGTATTGACATGAGTACAAATAGAAGAAATTTAAGAACATTGGCAACACAATTATCAAGACATAATAACCCTTCTTTTTCTCTTCTTTTTTCTGTATGTTGCTTTCATTGTATTCTTTAAAAAAAATGAAAAATCAGCAAACAACAGAATAGCAATAATATTCATATAATGGACACAAAAGAAAGCAGCTAATTTTCAAAGGCTACCTGAATTTTTTTTAATTGCTCTTTTTCAGAAAATTAGCAAGGAAGACGTTCCATGACTCATACCATAACACTGGATCTGCTCCAAAGAAAGTCTGGCTTCTAGTAGTGGCTAACCCAGCACTCTCATTGGATAAAATCCGGAGTAACTCCGTTGAGTTTAGAACTACAAGGACTTAAAAGCATACATAAATTCTGAATCTGCATGCTGAAGTTATAATTCAGATGTTCAAATTTCAGATTAGCACTGGATGTCTAAAGATATTTCTCTATCAAACTCAGTGCTCGTGTTCATTTTGGGGGTGAAATTTTAGCTTTTTTGTGAACATCAGTTCTCAAATTAAGATTTCACAGCAGTTCCATCTGAAAATAAATATATCCCAAAAGGCATGCCTTTCTTATTCACTCTTGGCCAACAAAACAATTTTCTGCTACTGTGCATTTTATTGGTAATATTGTTTGCTTCCCAGATTTCAAGCGGAGGACATGAGATGTATGAAATCATCAGGTACATACTGCTTTTTCATTCATGTATTAAGGAAAAGTGTAGAAGATATCTGACCAACTTTAACTTTAATAATCTGGCCCACAGTATGCTTGTTCTATAATGGACAGATTAGCCATTTCTTCAATGGCAACTAGGAATTAATTGGTGGACCATAGAGATAGCCATTTTTAGTGGACGAAGATAGTATAACGGGAGTGTATTGTAGATTGTGATCTGCACACCATTCAAAGTTATTGGAATTTAGCCAGATGGATTGGAGGTGCACAATGAATTAAATGGATTGTGGATCATGGCAACTTCTTTACACGTTTTGAGACAGTAATTTCAAAACATTGTAATGAGTTACATAAATCTAATTGCTGAGGTTTTCAGAGGTTATTGGCAGAACGATTTAAGAAAAATGTACTCACACTATTTGCTGCTGTTAATAAAAGTTCCAGTTTATCAAAAGACTGATCCAAGTTTGCAGATCAAAGTATTCAGGCTTAACTGGTTTGTTCACTAGGGTACTAATAACTTCCAACAGTTTTTCTTCAATGTTCTGTGTCTTAAGTTTAAGTTAATCTTGCCTACACAATTGCAAATGCTAAATAATAATGATACTTGTTTTTAAAGTGTTTTTTGGTAATAATGCTATAATATCTTCCCTGTTAATCAGCATTTCTATGCTGAAGTTTAAGTTTTATGTCATTTTTTCAAAGAAAAATCTTGCTGAGTGCAAATAGGGTTGAATTACCTTGTCCCTCTTTCACTTTTGCTTTCTCAAATCTTTTTGTTTCTTGTTTGTTTACCTCTGTCAATGCCGTCTGTGAAACTACATCGCACTATATCCTGTACACTGATACCTTTATACCCTCAGATATTTCCGAGTCCCTAAGGATAAAAAGATCCACTGAATCCTTCTTCCTCCTTAATAATTATTTCTCCTGGCTGGACTGTTCAAGGTTGCTGTAAAAGACACAATGGCACCACCTAAAGGAAGTACTTTGTACAATTAATGGTACTTTTGTATCTTCCAGTGTTCTGTGGTGTTATAAAGATTTTTTAAAAAATAAATAAATGATGTGAACCTTGCTATATTTAGCAATATGCTTTTAAAAACGAGATCAAGCAGAGAGAGCAATAATAATAATAATAATAATAATAATAATAATAATAATAATAATTTATTATTTATACCCCACCAATCTGGCTGGGTTTCCCCATAAAGACAATGAAGACAAATACTCTTATTACCAAGCTGGAAATGAAGACAGACAACTTCTGTGATATAAAAATAATGTGTCACTTAGTGGGGTGAGGGGAAGGGAATTATTAACCAATGAAACTGAACGAAAAGGGGATATTTTCACCATGCAGTCAGGTTGCTAAAACATAAATAAAGAAGAAAAGCTTTCAGCCAATCATGCCAGTTTGTATTTTACACATTTAGGACTCAATTCTAATGGTGCTAATTCAGAACCTTGTGCTGGTTTGTATGTAACTTCCCACTAAGAAAAAAAGTCCCAAAGCAATTTACAAGTAAAAATAACACAATGAGAACATATTACTAACAGATTTAACAATACAATTTCATCTCATTTGATGCTGCTCAAGTGCCCAGAAAAAACGAAAAACATTTTGTTTGCTCCTTTAAGGAAAATGTAATCTCATTCAGAACAGGATGCATTCAACTCATCTGGTCAGAGGAACCACCCACTAACAGTGTCTTGGTTTTATCTAGATTGAGCTGAAGTTTGTTGGCTCTTATCCAGTCTGTTAGGCACTGAACCAGCACATTCACCGCCACACCTGCTTGAGCTGTAAAGGAAAAGCTGTACAGGACATGTGGAGTTGTGTGTCATCGGCATATTGATGTGAAAACACACTTCAAAACGCCAGGTGACCTCACACAGCAGTTTCATGTAGATGTTGAGCAATGTGGGGGATAACATCAAAATCTGTAGAACCCCTCATTGAAGCCCCCATGAGGCTGAAGAGCATCTCCCAAGCATCACCTTCTGCAAACCACCATCCAAATGGGAGTGGAAGCACTGAAATACAGTGCTGCTTGGAGAGTCTCCCAAGATGAATGCCATAGTCAATAGTACTGAAAGCTACTAAAAGGTCAAGAAGGATCAACAGGGGCACACTCCCATGTCCGTCTCTGGACGTATGACATCATCATACAGCGCAACCAAGGTGGTCACAGTGCCAAAACCAGCCCTGAACCCTTGGATCTATAAAATCAGTTTAGCGTGCGTGGAGTTGGTGTTACATGTAAACTGTCAGTGACATTATATACTTATGTATCCTAAATTCATTAGAGCTCGTTCTATTATATGGTGACCATATGTTGTGGTTGGTTCACTTGGTGGAAAACATTCATGTGTTGTTGTTTACCAGGTGGATTGCCATCACCATGTATTCCATACCACAGCAAACAACTAAGAGGAATATGGAGAATAATATATAGCAGAAGGAGAACGGGATCATATTTTATCACTTGCCTGTAAGTTGTTTATTTTAAAATTATTGTATTGGGTCAGATTGTTATTATTAATGTTTGATATGTTTTTATATGTGTTGGAAACTGCCCACAGTGGCTGGGGCGAACAAGCCAGATGGGTGGGGCACAAATAATAAAATTATCATCATGATCATCCATCTCTGAAGACCCATTAGTTATGGTGGAAGTTCAAGGTGTGGTGCATTGCAACCTTAAGCTGTGTAAAGGTTCCATTGAATTGTTTGGAACTTGTACAGGAGTAACTGCCACAGGATTGCAGGCTAAATATATACTTGGAAGGAAGAACACACTGCAGAGCTTCCCAGAAATCTCAGCCCTAATAGCTTATCCATTTAGTTAAAAATAATTTTGGCATCGGCACATCCATGGTAAATGTATATTCGTTTGATTTGACCAAATGGTAGACTATCATGGCAAGCACACTATTTATGCTATATCTAATGGTAGATAACATGGAAGTTGCTATGAGTGTTCCACATCTATTAAAATCAATGGGCAGGGATGCCAATGGTGTGGATGAGAGAGGGATTCCATCCTGTGTTTTAGTATTAGAGCATTCATTGGCCTTGGTCATGTGAATCACTGAACTGGTGAATAGACATATCTCATCTGATACTCTGAAGAAGCAACTGTACCAACTTATGTGCATCAGAAATGAAACAGATATATCTGTTTTAATTTAAGCTTTTTGACACAGCTTGCTCTGGATAAAAAACACATCTAGTATGTGCAGTATAAAGAACTGAGACTCACCACACTATGGAATATCAATGGATTACATTTCACACAAAAGCTGTAAGACTGAGTGACTTGTCCAAATTATTAGCCTGTATTAGAGATGCAATAGAAGCCAGGCTTCTTGATGTCTGTCTCTGTGGTTTAACCACAAGAGTGCTAGCAATAGAAGACAATCAAAGAGACAATAATCTTTCTTCATATCAGTCTGAAGTTTTATAATCAAAGCCAGAATGAGAAATTAACATCCTATCTCTTCCTGCCCTGTGACTGAATAACCCTTGGGAATATTTTACAATACTGTTGACTGTTGGTTCCCAAATGCTGGGCTGAGGACAATTAAGAAATGATTGGACGTTGACGTGCCCGAAGTTGAAACTAAGTGATTAAGGGTGAAAGTCATTTGGTGGAGATTGGGAATACATAGGGCCATGCATGAAAAACAGCTTGCCCTCCTTCTCAGATGCTAATAAAGACTGGAGAAGAAGACCAGCGTATTCCATAGAAGCATTTTCAACTGGGAACAAAAAGCACTCAGATATCTAGTACTTTGTTCATCAAAAACAAAGCAAGATATATTTGTTGATTTGACTCGAAATGTTCCTTTTCGTTATTCAAGAGGAATCAACTGAAGAAATAAACTTTCTGTCAAGAATGACCATCATTTCAATTAACAATCTCTAGGCATATATTGTGATCCTATCAGATCTTTGTACAACATGCTATCCGTCAATAGCAAGCACGGTTCAAAGCAAAACTAAAATGATATTTGACTGGACATGAGAGAAATTCAAGTGCCAGTAGGGCTTGAAAGGTTTATATACACAGTCCACTTCTGCTAGAACTCAGTGGTGGTGCATTCATGGACCACCAACGGTGGTCTTTGTTCTACTTGAAGATGCTTCCACTTTCCTAAGAGAGGGTGCCAGTTTTCACTGTCTCCACACCTGAACAAGCCACATTACAAGATGCCATGGCATTAGTGAGTGGGGAAGCATTGATGGAAACTGGTGTCTTTCCTTGAACAAGCAGAAGTCACAATTAGACATTGACCATTCTAACTGGAGCTGATGATATCTGGAGTCCAATAAAATCTGGAGGATTCCCTACCCCTGGTTTTTAGCCTAGTCTAGTCTAGTCTAGTCTAGTCTATGTTTTGGATGGGGTAGCACTCTGTCCAATGAGCAGTATGCAATTTAGAGTATTCCTTGATCCACAGTTGTCATTGGATTCCAAGAGGGCATTGATGGCAAGGAGTGCCTATTTCCAGCTACGTCTGGTTTGCCAGGTATGACCCGCGACTGATACCCTAGACCAGGATAGCCTGCTATTGGTAACCCATGCTCTAGTGACCTTGCATATGTATTATTGCAACATGATCTGCATGGGGCTGCCCTTTGAGAGCAGACCAAAGCTGCAGCTAGTATAGAATACAGCTGCCAGTTTATTAACTGGGCCAATGAGATGGGATCAAGTAACACCTATCCTAAAAGCTCTGCACTGGCTTCCTGTGTGCTACTGGGCTCCATTCAAGATTATTGATGGTTTAAAAAACAACCCCTCTATATATCCCAAATATCTGCAAAAACAACTTCAATGCCTAAATACTTGATCCTTAAGATCAACCTACTCATACTCCCTGCCAGGATTCAAGATGAGAACATAAGTAGAGTGGCTTTCTTCATAGCAGGGTCGTAATTCTGGAGGTGTATCTCTCTACCATACTGTTTCCCAATAAAATTGCAGACATCTTTCATTTGCCCAGCCGCGTATAGTTTGATAAATAAGAGATCAGCAATGTCTGTAATTCTGTTTTAATTTATTTGAGATAGAGATAGAGATAGAGATAGATAGAGATAGAGATAGATAGAGATAGAGATAGAGATAGAGATAGAGATAGAGATAGAGATAGAGATAGAGATAGAGATAGAGATAGAGATAGAGATAGAGATAGAGATATATAGATATAGATATAGATATAGATATAGATATAGATATAGATGATATAGATATAGATATAGATGATATAGATATAGATATATAGATACAGATATAGATGATATAGATAGATAGAAATGAATTTTTTAAAATAATGTCGTTTTATTGTATTGTGTATATATGCTTGATGTGCAACACCCTGGGCTATTTCTGAGGAATGGCAATTGGAAAGGGAAGGGAAGGGAAGGGAAGGGAAGGAATAAGTCCTAACAATAGAAAAATCTTTAGTAATCTACCAATAACATTTCAGTACAATGTCTAAGGGAGAAAATGCACTGAGTTTGTAAACATAAAACTGACGCATTCCTAATCATTATCTATATACACCTTCCCAGCAAGGAATGATTGATAGGATGGGAGATTTCAGAACTAATCGATTCCATGTGAATGTAAAACAAAATGGAATGACAGAGAGGCATGAAAATCACATATGAATAAAAGAGAAATATGGGTAGAGTATAAACTTATTCTGATGCTGGAAGGAGTCTTTAAAGCTTTATCTCTCCCCACTAAAAAAAAACCCAACAACCTCAAAACGCCAAGCAGTAAGCTTAGGATCGACTCTAATAAATGCATGGACTTCCTTTACGAGTGTCATGAATCCATTCACCATCAATTTCTGACAGCCAAGATAAGATACATCACAGTTTTGCCCCAGCTTTTTCACCTGCCATGTGCATTTTGAAGACCACTGGAGCAATATGTTCTTAATTCATTTGCTTGTTTGCCTGTACCAGCCTACAATAAGAATCTCAGACATAAATAATTACCTAGCACAGTGATCAACACAATGATCATGAAAGAAAATAGTGGTTTAGAGTTGCATTTCAGAGACGGATAAGGTTTCCTCTTTTGGTTCATTGGGCAAATCACTGTCGGGAAGCTGCTGGCTTCTGTTTCTTTCCTGAAAAGTGTCAATTGGGTCTTGTCCATTTCAAAAACAGTTCCTGCACAGCATCACAATATCAGGGCTAAGTGCTAGCTTGAGAAAACCAATGACACATATACTACATCTCTGAACAATATCAACAGTCTCTGCTTATCTGCCCTTGTTCTTTCTTCTACCACTGAACAAACCATTAAAGCACTCAAAGCACTTGGAAGGATAATAATGGAAAAGTACATGTGTACAACAGGGTATCTGATGCACTCTGTCAGCTGATGGTCAGAAGCCATTGATTAGAGAGGAGTTAACTCTAAGGAATGAGTTGGTTCCAATCCAATTATCAAATGCACTATGTATTTTATGGGTATGCACTATTTATGTCTGCAGATCATATGTAATCATATTTGTCTCTTAGCTAAGGGACCACCTTGCCCTAGCAGCTGCAGTTCTCAGGTGAAGCACTGCTGAGAGTACCAGGTGCCCCAGAGAAAGGTTGTTTTCTGCTGCTCCAGAGAAGCGGACACGGAGCAATGGATCCAAACTACAAGAAAGAAGATTCCACCTAAACATTAGGAAGAACTTCCTGACAGTAAGAGCTGTTCGACAGTGGAATTTGCTGCCAAGGAGTGTGGTGGAGTCTCCGTCTTTGGAGGTCTTTAAGCAGAGGCTTGACAACCATATGTCAGGAGTGCTCTGATGGTGTTTCCTGCTTGGCAGGGGGTTGGACTCGATGGCCCTTGTGGTCTCTTCCAACTCTATGATTCTATGATTCTATGTGCATACATAGTGTTTATTAGAAAAGGAGTTTTTAGTGTAGCAGCTCCAGTTCTCTGAAATTAATTGCCAGCTGAAACTACAGTAGGCAAATGCCTAGTATTCTGATGTTTAGGAACCTACTGAAGATGTTTTTCTTCAATAAGTCTTTCCCTTCTTAACCAGTAATTTATGGATTATTAATTGTACATCTATAGAAATAGTTCTATTGATTTAGTTTTTTCAGAATTTGTACATTTTGTATTTTATCCCCTTTCTATCTTGTTGTACATCACTTTGATGGACATTTAAGACAACGTAGTCACTGTTCTGCCTTGTGTTAAGCAGATATATACTCTTTTTGCAATGATGCATATTTCACGGATAGGGTGACCTGAATCTTACTGCCAGGTCCAACATTTTAGGATCGCACCTTGAAGGTGTGGCACTCTGTTTTGTTGAATCCATACAGACTAAAGTTTCTGCAGGATTAAAAGAAAAGAGGAAGGACAGGAGTAATAAACAAAGAGAGCGATTTACTTCATTTGCACCAGGGAGATCAGAAGAAAAGGAAGGAAAAATAAGAGCCTCGTACATGGTATATTCTTGTGCCACCATGAGACTGCTGAGATGGTCAGATTATGGTCCCTTCAATTGTCTGGCTTTGGAAAGACTATTGATTCCAAGCAAGGCTGGCTGGGCCATTGGGCTGTACTGCTGGGTAAGGGAAAGTGGAATTAATGGTTCCCACTGGCCCCAGTGAGGCATGAAACTGGAGCTGGAGCTCATGAAAACTCATTACCACATGATATCAGAGAGCACACTTTGTCACTCCAGGAGCAAATGACTTCAGTCCAGAAGAATACTACATGGAAAGTCCATAGTTCAATGGCAGAATATATATTTTGTATGCCAGTTCTTGAGAAAGGTTCTTAAGTGACTGCTCAGTCTGCTACCCAAGTGTTAACTGTTGATGGGCAGCTTCAAGGCACCTGCTCTCCCTTAGGGTTCTTTATCTCTGAATTGGATATTCCTTTGAATGGAAGATTTCCTATGACAGCTCTTCAAATAGAGGTCTGTCCCCTGCAAAATAGGACACATGACCACCATAGCCCCATTCTTGGACCCCTCTTACCAGTTGCCTGTTTCCTCTTCCCTGCCTCACTACTCCCCTCCCAATCCTCTCAGGAGTCATACTATAGAGAACAAAAGGGTATTTTATTACAAAGAAGGAGGGGAGAAGAGAGATTAGGGCAAGTTATCAAATGCTTGATTTAACATATACAAAGTCAAAATTCCCACCTCATAATAGACCTGACTGCAGCTCAGGTAGCAAATGGAGATAATCTTTATCCCTTACCTGAGCAGGATGCGGCTGGCAACTTATATCTGGATGCTGTGGGGCACTTACTTCCAAATCTTGGATGGCCAAACAAGTCCACTCCTTTGAAGCTGCTGACCTGTCCAGACTTCTCCTCTGAGCATGGAGGTCAGGTCTTAAAGGGGGTTTCTTCCTAATGGGCTCTTTTCCCTCAGCAGTGCTCCCACCTGTTCCCAGGAGTCTTTCTCCCAGATGACCCAACAGATGTCAGCCTTCCTTGGTTTACTATTCCCAAAGGATCATTCCCAGAGAGTCACATTGCCCCCCTTTCCCCCAGGAACTTGTGAGACTTTAACCCTATTTGCCCTGTATATGCCACTCTATCACCATCATCACCATCACCATCATCATCATCATCATCAATTGATTAATCGGCTTCTATACAATTGCCTTGAGATAGATTCAGTTATGAGGGAAGTTCTGTTACAAATAAAATGCCCCTGCCCAGCTAATGTGTAATATTGGGATAATCAGGTTTCCTGATGACATTGAGAGCACACATCTGAGTGGCCGCTTCAAATTAACACCGACTGCACATGGACCAGTTTCAGAATCCCCTTCAGTACTAGAATGCATGGTTTTTATACTGGTTATTATGATTATGAGCCAATGTGGTGTGGTGGTTAGAGTGTCGGACCAGGATCTGGGAGGCCGGGGTTCAAATCCCCACTCAGCTATGAAACCTACTGGGTAACCTTAGGTTACTCACCCTCAGCTGAACCTGCTTCACAGGGTTGTTATGAGGAGAAAATGGGGAGAAGGAGACCTGTGCATTTCACCTTGAAGTCCTTGGAGGAGAGACGAGATGTAATGATAAATCAACAATGATTGGTTAATACAAGTCCCTCATAGACCATTGCTTAGTAGCAGTGCGCAGGCTGTGCACAGAGACGTTCCCAGAAGTTCTATCCCATGGTGTCTCCAGGCAGGTCTGGAAATGATTCATGTGTGAAACCTTGGAGAGCCACTGCAAGTCAAGACAGTACGGCAAGACAATATTGAACTAGGTGGGTAAAGAGAGTTTCCTCTGTTCCTATTTTGTATAACTGGGAGGCCTTCATTGTGCTGACACTGACATCTTGTTTCACATGACAGCATAAATCACAAGCTTGTAATGTCAATTAAAACATATACCACATTCTTTTCACACACACACCCCATAACGTTTAATCCAGGTATGACAGGTTCGTTTCCTTTGAGGTCGGGGGTATCATCCATTCTCCACTTGCCAAGATCTAGCGTGTCTGCATGCAACAATTGTGTTTTATGAGTTTAGCATTATAATTACTGAAGTATCTGCGAGGGTGACAATCGGTTTCTTTGTTTACCGATAGGGATGTCTTTTTTAATGATATAACACAGACATTTCAAAAGGATTTTAATAATCTGCTGGGTCTGGTGCTATATAATTTAACAAAACTGCCAATGGCATTATGTCAGCAAACTTACTCATGGTGAATCTATCTTTTTACTCTGACTCAAGCAATAGTTGTGACTCGTATTTTGCAACCCCTGGCTAAAAGAAGCTCAATTATTATTTTTTAATTACAACATATGAGGGAAACAGTATGTATGTATATACATACAACACAGCCTACGGTACCAAACTGGACACATGGCATAAATTTCCTTAGAGCCCATTTGGTGTATTTTCTTGGTGGATGGAATCTGCTGCAGCACTTCTCAATCCTTCACTGCCTGATCCATGTAGGGAGAGGCCATGATGAGACTCCTTCTCCATCTGATACAATACTGCCACAACTGTAGTATCAGAATGTAGCCTTGCTTACTTATCACTAGGGATTAACAGATCTGTCAGTTTCAGTTCTCTCAGTTTCTCATTCCCCCCCCCATCTTAAATTCCATTTTTTCTGCAGCAATTTCTGATATATATTTTTTAATCTTCATGAAAATTCATGAAGCATTTTGGTGCAAATGTTTCCTAATGAACACAGTTTCGCCTACTGTGCACTTTTTTTTTTGCAAAGCTGTTTCCCCTTATATTGCAGTTTTATGCTATTTTCCACTAATAATATGCCTTTGCATGCCTGTATTTTACCCTATTAATGTATTTTTGTAGACATTCCTTGGTTGGAGAACTTCATTACAAAATTCACAGAAGTCCGAATTGGAAAGAGTGGTTGTGTTTTGGTTTGTTTAAAGGCAAGTTTGCATTTAAATATTAACTGACTCAGATTTCCCCCACCAATACCTGCTTAGCAGCTATGCAGTTTCTAAAAAAGATTGTTTGTTTGTTTGTTTGTTTGTTTATTATTTCAGTTCTATCCCACCCTTCCTCCCAATGGAGCTCAGGGCAATAGCAAATCTGTCTCACCATTAGGAAGAAGAGCATGGTTTCTCCAATCTCGATAACTCTCCAACAAGCTGCATAGACAACAGGAACTCACCAAGTGGGAGTCTCACAAAGCAAAAAGGTACTAGACAGAATTCAACACAACCTTACCTTTAATGATAAAATGTTACAACATGGCTTGGTAATGTGGAGTCCTTGCATCCACTATGAATTAGAATGAATCACAGAATATAAGCATGTGAAGTCACCTTGTTCTGGGACCTTCTGTGTAGGTCAATATCACCTACTCTGATTGGCAGTGGGGTCTATGAGCTCTGGCAGATATCATTCTCATCCCCATTACCTGTGGTGCTTGGGGAGATAGAGCCTGTGGCTTTCTTCATGCACATCATATATTCTAGGGACATAAGAAGCTGTCTTCTACTATGCCTGTACTCAGATGGGCTCATCACGTTAGTTTTACTGATTTTAATGCTACTGCTTCTGTCTCCATTTCTGCCATTGCTTTTACACTGGTGTACCTTGTTGTGGTATGGATTTGTAGGGATTTTTTTCCACCAATATGCTGCCATGTTGTGCTAAATTTTAAAAGGTATTGTCAGCACTAAACTCCCACAATTTTTTGAGTTGCTATGGGTGCAAACAGATTTCTTCTGGAAACATTCAATGCAGAAATGAGCGCTAAATTTCTGCTGGATTCCACTAGATTTGCAGAAGTGGCCTTTGCATTGTGAGAAATATCACATAAAAAGTAAAAAAAAAAAAGAACAAGTATGTAAGCATCATGAGGATGAAATTAAATGATGTCTGAATACAGCCTGAGTCAGAGTACTAACCTATGTTTTTTAGTGACTCCCCGGGGTTTTAGACAGGGGAAATTTCCAGCCCTACCTAGAGATGCTTAGGTTTGGACTTTATGAGGCTAATGCCCTGCTTGTGAGCTACTGCTCTTTCTCTGTACATCAGGGGAAAAACCAAAGTGATATCAATCTTAATTATATGGTTGCCACCAAATTCTACCTACTGCAAAATTTGGGTAATTGATTATTGGCATTTAACATTTTTGCTGACAGTTTGCTTCCAGAAACCATCCAGAATGAACAAAGAAATAGGTCAAAGCACTCAACACTCCTTCAGCCTCATCCTTTGACATATAAACTGAGACTGAAGCTGCAAGCAATCTGTGTCCATCAAATAGGAAAGTGGCTTTTGGTTGTGCAAAGGTACCTATTAAGCTCCTCATACCTACCTGTTTCCCTTGCAACGTCTTATCCACCCTTATGCAGAGGGAACATTGGGACCCAAGTTTCAACTGTAATCAAGTAGACACGGTGGGCAGGGAGAATGCCAGGGCCTCCAAAATAGTGTGTGATACCATCAGCCCCACATCTTCAAAAAAGGAGACGTGTGGTGGGGGAAACTTGGGTGCGACAATAGAACAGCAAAAGAACAAGAACAAGGCTATATCCGACAGTGAGGAAGAACAAGCGGAGGGACCAAAAGGAATACCGCAGATGAATATAGAATTTAAGATACGCCTCTAAGCACCAAAGGAGGAGGAGGTGGAGTCCAATAAAGTAGTTTTCCACTGGAGAGCACTTAAGAGTCTCTCAGACCTGTCTCTGGCTGCGCAGTCTGGGCGTGGAATGCAGCTGTAGGCGTCAGTCTCAGTCATTCTTTGGCTACAGAACTGCTGCTGGAGGAACACTGTGTGAGGGCAGAAGGCGGTGGCTACTCTCTGTCTCTTCTACTTGCTTCTCTGGGTGGCTCTTCTTAACCTCCCCACCCCTCATGTAGCTTTCTCGGTCTCTCTTTCCTCCTTCAACTCTTCCCTTCCAAATGTCTGGGAGTGGGGACCCTCTGAACCTCCTCAGAACTCTTTCCCAGTCTCCTTAGGCAGAACACTTCCAGGTGCTCCTCAAAGAAACTTTTCCATCCCAAAAGTGCCCAAAAGGGCTGTGGTCCAGACATTCCCCAGAGGCTACTCTGCAAGGGGCTGAACTGCATAGAGCTACACCTCTCCTAGAAGGCTTAGAGGGTCACAACCTGATCCGAGGCGAGTTGCAGCAGCAGTACTACCACCATACAAATATTAGAAATAAATCAAGAAACTAGCCCCCAAAAACATGTTCAGATTTGAAGTGGGTCCCAGGTCTGAAAAGGTTGAGGATTACTGACATAGAAGCCATCAGTCAAGAAGCTAGACAAGAACTTTATTGTCTCACTCCAACAGCAACAGAAAACTCCTAACAACACCCAGGTGCATCAAAGTCAGTGCCAAGGGCTTAGCAGAGAGCAGAGATGTCCTTCCCCCAGCAGGGGCACACCAAGCCATTGGCAAAGTTGGCTGCGGCCAAGGTGCAGGCCCGGGGGGGGGGCCACAAAAACCATGCCACAGATAATTGTGTGAATCCACCCTCTTCCAGGTTCCACCCCAAACCTGGCTACAGATGGGGACCATAGTCAAAGCTTCACTAGGGATCACTGCTCCCACCAGCACCACACCCCAGACAGCAGGAGGGGGGTGTGCTTATCTCCAGCATGACTGCAATTGCAGTAATAGCAGCTGCTGACACATTCCCCTATCTGTGTGTGTGCATATGTGTGCGCCATGTAACACGGAGGCAGCTCTACTACATGCATTACGGTATCACCGGTGTGAGGGGAGGAGGAGGAGGAGAAAGACAGAACCTGGGAGGCACTGCTCTCCTCAGGATCTGGGGAACTTGACCCAGAGGGACCCTTGAAATGAGAGGGCATTAGAGCCATGAAGGGGAGGGTGGGGAAACTGGGTTCCTCTTTGCCACTAGCGGGGATGGACAGACTTGACTGGGCCCTCTTCACTGCTTGAAACACCTGGAAAAATTGAGCCTTTCCCTCCAACTGGCAATGTCCTCTTACTCTGTGTGTGTAAAGTAAAGTAAAAAGAAGAGAGACTCATTCATCATTCAGCCCATCTGTGGACGCCCTCTCTAAATAATTAAGTAAATATAGGGAGCTGTCTTAAAATGAGTTAGATCATCTAGCTAGCTAACTAGCTCATCTACACTGTCTGGCAGCAGCTCTCAAGGGTTTTGAGGCAGGCACAAGGAATGGCGGGGCGGGCGGCGGACCAATATAGGTCCTTGCCAAGGGCACAAGGGAGCCTCTCCCCCCCCCCCATTCTCATTTGTTTGCTTATGTATGAGATTGACACCTCAGTAGGACAACTATCATGTAACTTTTCCATGTACAAATAGACTTCAATATGGGGCACTTTAAAACAAGTATTCTTTCTGATGTCATTGTGAAATGGTTTGATTTCTTGGGACAGGGTACCGCAAGTAAGAATTTGTTTTGCACTCAGGATAATTAGGGGGGTACTAATTTTGAGCCTGGAATCTCCATCTCAGGAAGATTGTGACAGTGAACTAGTTTGTATTTGCAAAACCCTTTGATGTTGCCACCTCTGGGGGAGATTGCTTTCACTCTCATCAAATTTCACCAGAAGGTTTTGCAACAATGAGGAATTAGTGTCAGTACCTGGCAGGTACACACACTTCCCATACTACTTCTGAAGGCATTGAACAAAAAACATCCATCCCACTACTGACATTCAGAACAATAATTCAAAGCTAAAGTACATGAATTGGGGGGGGGGAATGCCTTTTTACTGCTTATAAAATCAAGTTAGGTTGCAATCCTAGACACACATGCTTTGGAGTAAGTTTCACTGAGTTCATTGGGACTTATTCCAGAGTATACATGTATTGGATTATTCAGTGAAATAGTCCTTGACCAAATATTAAGTTCTTCCCTTATGTCCTTGTTCTTCGGACCCTACTTCCTTCAGTGGCGAGACAATGGTGATCCAAGAAAGGACCTTTTCAATTATGATGCTCTGTATTTAAATACTCTCTGGAGTGACTTGCCTCAGCATCTTTCTCTATGCCTAGGTCTTCTAAGTATTCTTGTTTTAGGCTTCTGATTTTTTTCTTGGTGTGTCTCTGACATTTTCTTAACTTTCTTTTAACATGTTTTATGCTGCCCTGCAATTAATACAACATTTTAGTATGTTTGTTGTTCTCAGTGCTGTTTTTCTAGAAAAAGAGGTGCCAGAACTCACCACAAACACCTCCCTCATTCTCTTATGCAACGGCACCCAACTGAGAGGTTCCGGCACTGAGTTCCAGCAAGTTCTGGCAGGAAAAAAGCCCTGGTTATTCTTATTATTGATAGCTATTTTAGGAATTCCTAGGTTGAAGGGCAGGACACAAAGTTTTCTAAATGGATGGAAGGATGAAGAAGAGTTTGGATTTGATATCCTGCTTTATCACTACCTGAAGGAATCTCAAAGCAGCTAACATTCTCCTTTCCCTTCCTCCCCCACAACAAACACTCTGTGAGGTGAGTGGGGCTGAGAGACTTCAGAGAAGTGTGACTAGCCCAAGGTCACACAGCAGCTGCATGTGGAGGAGTGGAGACGCGAACCCGGTTCACCAGATTACGAGTCTACCGCTCTTAACCACTACACCACACTGACTCTCGGATGTGCTCATAAAAGAATATAACAGGATCAGTCCCTCTAGTCCAGCATCCTGTTCTCACAGTGGCCAACCAGTTGCCCACAGGAAGCCCAAAAGCAGGGCCTGGTCACAACAACACACTTCCCACTTGCGTTCCCCAGAAACTGTTATTCAGAGGGATGCTGCAGGCAGAGCCATAGCCATCATGGCTAGCTGAGGTTGTATAAGGAGGTAGGAGTGTTGAAATTTTTAAAAAAATAAATTCATCTGGAACAAAAGTAATGTATTTGCTTGGTATTCTTAACCTAAAAAAACCACATTTGCTTATCCACTTGAGCGGAATCCTTGAAGAAACATGGTTATGTGCTTTGAAATTCAAATGTATCCCCAAAATGCATGTTTACCTATATTAATAGATAGTAGCAGCAGCCACAAAGGAGCCTCTCTAATCTACATAGTAATATAGATTCTAGGTATGCATGCCAGCAGGCATCCTGAGTTGCATAAATGCTGTACGCTTTCCAGATGCCAAAGTACATATTCAACACAAAGTATTACGTGGGCTACAAATCATGTACAGACTGAATGGCTTTGGCTTGGTGAAACAGGAGTACATTGGGGTGGGGTGAATATTTGGTTTATGCCATCAGCTCCACTGTGAAATAAGCTGGCATTTCAAAAAGCAGATGCAGAATGGCATAGCTACTTATCAAGTACAGTATATACAACTTTACAGTTTTTATTGTATTCATAACAGAGGTTAGCTTAACATGTTTTTAACTGAAGCAATAAAAGGCAACAGGGCAAAAGAAATCAAGCTGTCCCATTATGTCACACACACTGTCTTTCCAGCTTTGACCCAACTCAAACACGTAGAAACTCATCAAGAAAGCTCTGCAATAACATATTCACATCTCTTAAGCTATTTGTGGCAAGGTGAATTTCCTTTAAGTTGCAGAGCATTCAGAGAACAGAAGGTAAACTAAGCTTTTATGGCAGCTTTTCTGCTCCTTGCAGTGTTTATGTTTCATATGGGAACTATTCCTAAGTAGGGTGTGGTCCTTCCTTTAATAAAATATTTGGTTAATCCCCCCCATTGTGCCTCTTGGGCTGCCATGAATCTGTCATTTAAACAACTCATTCTGCTGCAAAAAACGGGTGAGATTTCTATTTAGGATGTAAATTTGGTCAGTATAATGACCCATGTATAGATGCTCTCTATTTCTGTCTGTCGGCATGTAGATTCCTCTTCAAAACCCGTGTGAGAGAGAAAAGTAACAAAGCTGAGAAGATAGAAAGATCTTGGGCTGTGGCTTGGGGGAACTCACACCCTTTCACCTTGGAGACAGAACCAGATATCCCTGCCTCCAGCACCTTCCTCAGCAAGCTTGAGTGCCTTAGGGACATCAGTTGCCAATGTACCAAATCACCTCATTCATCAGTCTCTCCATCAACTGCCATGCAATATTACTGAGCCAGTTTAAACTGTGCATGACAACCACAGGCTCTATACCCAGGTGCTCAAGAACAGGCAATATCTGCTCAATGTAACAGCTCTGAATGACCAATGGTTGCTGTTTGTAACAGGATTGGAAAGTCATAATATGGCCAGTTGATGACTAACAAAACCAAGCCAAATCTGCCTATAAGCAGATGTGCTTATAAGCAGATTTGACAGGCAGGCGTGATGTTGACTTTGAAAAGTTCTTGTTTGCAAAGCTTTCATTTTCCTCTTTTTGTATTCTAACAGATAAGTCGTCTAACATTTGCAATTATGCCAACAACGAAACCACATAAAGGGAAAAAACACAACAAAATAGGACGAACTGAATACAATAAGCAACCTGTTATAATGATAAGCAAGTTATAATATGCTGTCTGCATCTGCATCTCTACTATATTTAACTGTTTGGTTTTGTGTGTGTGTGTGTGTGTGTGTGTGTGTGTGAGAGAGAGAGAGAGAGAGAGAGAGAGAGAGAGAGAGAGAGAGAGAGAGAAGTATTGTTTTTATATATGAAATTGTTCTTAAGAGATTTATATATGAACTGGTTTTTTTAATTGCTTTTGCACTTTTCTTGCTTTGTGGTTGTAACTGTTTTATTTGTTTTATACTTGTATAATTTGTTGTAGTAACCAGCCCTGAGACCTTATGGGAAAGGTTCTTAAGTTTTCATCTAATCTAAAGCTTTCATTTCCCATCTACTTCAAGGCTCAAGCTACCCTTTACATGCCATAGCTATAATGGTAAGAAGACAACACCTTTAAATGAGGAACAGTCCCTTCCAGCGGGAGTGATCAGAAGAGGAGAGGTAAAGGTAAAGGTACCCCTGCCCGTACGGGCCAGTCTTGACAGACTCTAGGGTTGTGCGCCCATCTCACTCAAGAGGCCGGGGGCCAGCGCTGTCCGCAGACACTTCCGGGTCACGTGGCCAGCGTGACAAGCTGCATCTGGCGAGCCAGCGCAGCACACGGAAACGCCGTTTACCTTCCCGCTGGTAAGCGGTCCCTATTTATCTACTTGCACCCAGGGGTGCTTTCGAACTGCTAGGTTGGCAGGCGCTGGGACCGAGCAACGGGAGCGCACCCCGCCGCGGGGATTCGAACTGCCGACCTTTCGATCAGCAAGCCCTAGGCGCTGAGGCTTTTACCCAAAGCGCCACAGGAGAGGGAGCTGGCAAAGATTATTAATCTTTTCTCCATCTGCAGTTACCTCATCTGGGAGGGTGGTAGCCGATTGGGAGCAATTGGGAGCAGGGAAAAAGC